CCATGAAGCCATCACCCTCGTTCTGCTCCCTGAGAGGTGCGATCTCGTTGATCACGGCGCTCGCACTCGGAAAGGGGCTCGTGAGCCCAGCCAACGTGTCCGTATCCTTCACGTTAGGCTTGTCAGAAAGGCGTGTGGTATTCTTAAAGAAAAAATGCTTAGGGCGCCACTGCACTTCCAGTCACGACCCGTTCTCCAAAACCAACGAGGGAAGGCACAACACCAAAGGCGCACATCACAGAATGTTGAAACGCAGCTTTCAGCCCTCTGCTCGATGTCCGCAGGCCAAAGGCTGAAACACGGCTTGGGTCAAACCACCAAGATCCGCCCACCCACTCTCAAGATGCGAGTGCCAGCCTCTCAGCACCCAGCGAGTCTAAGACCTGCAAACATGCTTGAGTATGCCGAAGCAACCGCTGGCACCGCTGACTTCAAGTCAAGCCCAAAATGGCTGTACGGACTCAAAAGGGTCTCTGCTCCCCCACTTGAAACGCGTCGCTCGTCTCAAGCTGCCCCGCCTCTTGCCCCGTAGTCCAGGGCACGTGCTGCTCAGGCTTGTCGGCTGCAACCACGTGCCTACGGGCCAGTGTTGGTCTTGTTCTAACTGCCGAAGTCAAGGGTCACACTCGAAAAGGGTTCTTTACACGGGGGCCTACGTCCTTTTGCAACGAGTAAGGGAAACCTGGTGGGTGCAGGGTTCAAAACTCCTTCGACACTCCAGTCGCCTTGGCCTAACCCGCCAAGCGGGTTCCACGGGCACCGCCCTATGGCGCAAGAGCAACGGTCACAACGCGCTTCCTGCGCTTGTCATGGCCAATGCTATTTGCCTGGTGGCGACGCCGGCTAAGCAATGTGGCCAGCCCTAAGACTGGGTCCTTCAAACTGAACAGAAGGGGATCTCTGGGTCCCTACGATTTAGAGATTCCTTTCGCCGGCTGGGATCTGTGCCTGGGCCTGCTGCCGAGCAATCTAGGGTCTTGCCTTGGCGCGAGGCAAAGCGGCTGAGACAGGCCACATGCCCCTAAAATTACTCTCGCTCTCTCGACTGGTGCGTTTGTTCCCCTCAATGCTCGCTTGCCGGTTCAGGCACAGCACGAGTGTGACCTCCTGAGGTGTTTCCGCGGAAGAGACGCCATTCAAGCGCCCAGCGCAGCAGTGTGCGTTGGCTGTGCCACCGCATACGGCACCGTCTGCACCGTCGGCATTGGGTGGAGCGCGTGCGCGGGGTGCGTGTAGTGCACATGGCCTTGGAATGCTGGCCCAAAGCCTGCGAAAATTGGTTGGACCATGGTGGACCCTATTTTGGGCAGCATTTACATACGGAAGTTCTGCCCTTCAACCATGTTTTGAGGGGTTCCCCATTCAAAAGCAAATATCCAAGTGAGACAGGGCTGCAAGCTCAATTGGCCACGTGTCTTGGAAGTGGCAGAGGCGAGCACAAAAGCATCCGCCAGTTGCAGGTTCGAGGATCCCTTGTCAGCACACCATTGTCCTTGAGGACACCCTGTCAAAGCTTGCTCCATCTTCCATTTTGTTTAGTGGAACCGGGACTTTTTGCCACCGGGGGAAATCTACAAAAATCTCCGATCGAACCATTGGCGGCGTTTTCCCCTTCGAGCGAGAACCATGGCTCCGGCTCGGAATCATGGGCCTGGGCGTGCGTTGTTTGACCGGTTGGCATCCAGAACTCGCGGTCGGAAAACTATTGGGTTTAGGGCTTTGGGCATCTGGTCAGAACACATGTGAACACTCTCTTTGGGTCATTCGTTGGCTTTTTGGCGTTCTCCGTGTGCTTCTTACGGGGTCCCTGGGCTTGGCACATCCCATGCCAACTTAAGCAAAATGGCCTTGAACCGAAGCAACAAGAACACTAGTCCCGTCTGGCTTGTAAACTGGACAGTGGGACTAGAGCTGCGAAGACTTGAGAAACGCCGCACTTCCTTGAAGCACAGCTCATAGGTTGGCTCAACAAACTTGGAAACCGATGTTGGATGTTTCTCAAGGGAAACCAAAAAGGACACCCACCATTTTGAGAGGCCTTTGGACAAGGAAACCAAGCGCGGGAGGTCTTGAAACTCCACACGCCTCCAGGGGGGAGCGAAAGCCATTCTGAGCTTCGGAGCGGGACGAAACTACCGCGACCGAGCCCGGAGCTGCGACATCCAAGGCCCCGTTTTGGCACAGCTCCAAGCGAAAACCTGAACCCAAGATATTGAGTTGTTGGTCAGTGGTATGTGTCAAAAAGGGAGAACCCTTGTTTTCGATTATACAACAAATGCCCAAGCCAGGCTGTTCATCGGACCCCAATTGAAACAAAAAGAAACCATTTGCAAGGCCCATGCTCCACATGCTTCAAGGTGGTGCAATGGCTGCCAAAAACTCACCTAAGACGCAGGTCATGCGCAAAACACTCGGGGCTTTTGGCAGGCGCTTCTCGACACCTTTGCGGAAGAATACATCGAGCAGCGCCCGCAACTCCGGCGTTATGGTAAAGATTCACCCCAAAAAAAAAGCAAAAAGAAGAAGCAGCTGCAGTTTGGTGTCCATTGCAACGATGGCCACTTTTGAAGGTTCCGAAAAGGACATGCAAAGTTCAGTGCCTGGAGCCGAACTGAACCATGGCCAGGTCTGGGCGCCGCTCACATGTCTTTGCTATGGCTAGTCGTCGCAAGCCCAGGTCACGTGGCTGGCCCGCTACGTGCTGAGTCCTGCTGCAGCATTGCCAAAGGGAACTCTTCGGCTAGAGGGTCAGGGTGGCACTGAAGCAGCGTGGCAGGTTCCAGCAGACGCGTTCCCAAGGCGTGTCAACTCAAGCGCTTTAAAGATTGCATGGACCCTCCTCACAACCCAGTGAATCATTGACATCTAGGTCTGTGCCCCTAAATACTCCAAATTCGCATGGCGCTACTAGTGGATGGGAGGGTCCAGCTCATATCAAACATACTTGGCTCCACCAGATCACACTCGCCGTTCGACAAAAAAATACAACTCCGCCAGGAAAGTGGCACCGTGGAGCCAGAAACAACACTTCCCAGCGAGCTGGACACCACAGAGGTCTCACCAGTGCGACTGGAAATGTGTGTCGCACACAAGGCACTAGCCTGCAATCATGCAAATCTGGAGCAACACGGGTACCATGAGGACCTAAATAACTACAATTGGCTTGTAAGGTACGTTATTTGTTTGATCTCTCTTGTGCTCACACACTGTCAATGATTGGCATCTGCAAGAGCAAGCCCGGCCACTTGAACAACTCTGTAAAGCGTGTCAGCTTCCACTCATTGGACGTCTCCATCGGGCGTCAATTTCTTCTCCTCTTCCTCAAGGTCCTGCAAGCAAAAAATGAAGTCCGAATCTGATGGCGGCGTGTCAAACAAAATTTGGGGTTTCTCTTTGGAACGAAACCGAATCACGTCGAATCATCTCCACCCAGATTCGCACCGCCGGGTTTTCTCCGCGCGTTCTGCCGGACCTGCGCGTATCTGACTGGATCCGGCGCAGCCGCACACCGACGCTCCGACCCGGACCTTTGCACATCTGAACGGATCTGGCGTGGCCCCACTGACACCCAGACCCAGACCCCCTGCACGTTTTGCACCGCAGGCAGTCTGCTGCACGTTCGGGAAGCTGTGGTCGGTCTGGACACTGTCAGAATTCTACGCAAGATTTCGCTCAAGCGCAGACCTAAGTTTCGCGAAGCAGCAGGTGGTCAGTCAAAGAAGCAATCATCTGTTCGTGTGGTTGGATGCCGAACAAAGCCAGATCCAGGCAGCTGCTCTTTTTGGGATACCTGTTGAGTTTTAAGTCACATGCTTGAGTCCACGCCCTCACACACTCCCAACTCACACACAGACAGACACGCTCTCACGCACTCCTGCACTCACTCGCTCTCGCGCCCAAGCATTCACGGCCATCCGACCGGGCCTGGCACGGCACAAGACAGACACTGAGACGCCCACCTGGACGCGTCTGACCGGATCTGGCGTGGCCCCACACAGACACTCCGACCCGAACCTGCACGTATCTGACTGGATCTGGCGTGGCCCCACAAAGACACGCAGCCCAAATTTGCGCGTATCTGACCAGATCTGGCCGTGGAAGACTGACTGACTTTATGAGCTGGAATAGCAGGCAAGCACTGAATCGAGCATGCATTTAAAACAAAAAACAAAAAAAAAGATTTGGGGTGTGGTAAAAAGTGTAGTAGAATAAAACGTGGTTCCCACGTTTGTTTCCACGTTTTTGGGCCCTTGAACCCCCCCTCCTCGTGGCTGCAAAACGTAAGAAACAAGTTGGTACCATGGTTTGCCACGTTTTTGGAACGCCCCTCACCGTGGCGGCAAAGCGTGAAAAATCATGTGTCAAACCCACCCACGTTTGCAAACCATGTTCCTTACTATCTTACCACGTTCAAACCAGGAAACTAAACATGTTGACCTTTCCCAGTGGTTGCCTAACCTCCACCTCTTAGGACTGCCTGTATCTGTATCTCAGGCCTTTCTGACGGGTGGGGAGAACATGCGCTTTTCTGGTGATACCTTCCCAAACGCATGCCCTTTGCAGGACCCTATCTGGACAAAACTCCCCCGTGTCGCATGCAAAACCCGCGCAGGAGCCCGCCGCTGCTTTTGAACGCGTGTAGTCACCTCGTCCGCGCCCACATTTTGCAGGCCGAAGGTGCCGGCTGCCTCGAGTGGCAAAGCCACGGCCCAAGATGTGCAAATCCGTCTCCGGGGCTGCAAAGCCCGCAGGAAAACGTCTGGAATCGAGCAAAAAACTGCACCGGAACTCGGCCAAAGAAGGGGCTCAGTGCAGATCTCTACCTGCCGCCCTGGCCTCGGCCTTATTTTCACTCAAAAGGTCTGCGTCTCAAAAATGCTTCAAAACGACTAGCTTCAAACTTGGCTTCCTTCCTAGTTTCCTCCATTTAGTTTGCTCTTGAATCAACCCAGGCTGATCACTTGCCTCCTTCCATTTCGACCCGCAGCCGGCCCCTCGTCTCAGGTGTTGGCTTTCCAGGCCACGTGCGCCACCGCGCAGCCATAGGCCAGGCAAACCAACGCCGTGCTGACCACGTTGCCCTCCAGCTGCTGCAGAGCCAGGTACCTCGGATCCGACCCCCCCAGCAACTTGTTGTTTCTTTTCTTTTTTTCCGTGACAGGAAAAAAAAAAAGGTTCAGGTTAAGGGGTGACGCCACCGTTGTGCTGCTGAAACCCCAAAGGGCATGTCCCGATGGTGCTTGTCCTTCTGTAAACCAACCCACTCTCAAACAACACACACACACCAAAAGCGCTAAAGAAATAAAGAAAGGGTCGACCCTCTTGTTCCAACCCCAAGCCCTAGTGGACCTTTCGGCTCCCAGCGAACCCTTCACCACTGGACCTTTCGGCTCCCGAACACCCGCCTTTCGGCTCCCCCAAAAATTTCGCCTAGCGACATGTTGGCGGCGATGGCAAGGCCCAAGGCGCCCCAGGCAGCCACTTTCGCGGAACCTGGCAGCACCTGCGTACCGAGGTGCGATACTTCTCTAAACCGTCTCCAGGATGCTTTATCCAAACAAACGGGCAAACTTCATATAAAACCCAGGGGTGGGGGCGAACTCTGGCTTGGGGACATTTTTGAAGGTTTGTCTCGAAGGTTTCCCAAACTGACCCAAAATGGATATCCTCAAAAAAGACACACCCGAGTTGGCTCAAAGGGAACCCGACAGGACACTCGAAATCCTTTTTTTTGGGAAAGGCGAATCGGCCTTTGGAGGCTGCTTGTTGCTTTTGGTTTCTTTGAGGTTCTGTCAATGGTTCCTTCTAGAATCTGCTTAGAGCCTCACCGAGGCCTTTGAGCTGTCCCCATCCGCCAAAGGAAGCCCTAGAAACGTCGACCCCGGACGTAACCTGGACAACGGCGGAAAGAGCAGCCTGAAATTCGAGAACCTCCAAATCCCTTTGAGACACACCAAAAAAGGCACCTCGGCAAACGCCACACGCAAATATTGGTGCGAACTTCCATAAGGGACCCTTTGGTGGTGAACAAAAGAGTCCACAGTCCACTCTTAAAGAGGTGGCTCCCCCTTCAAATCCATGGCCACATGCCAGACATCTTCGACGCTTGCGCGGTTCCCTGCGCTTCCACTTGGGTTCGGGGCGCCAGGCGGCCCATGATCCGTGGGTTCCCCGCGAAGCTCAGCAGCGGCACCGCGGCGAAGGGCAGCACCAGGCTCTGCAGCACGTTGAGGTACCCGTTCAGCACGTCCAGCCCGTCCCTGAAAAGCGGAGTTTCGAGGTGCAATTTTCAGGGACCACGGAAAGTCGACTCATACCGACCACTTGCCACAAATGCTCGCCCGTCCCGCACGTGATGTTGGAACAACGAGTCCAAAACCTAGTCAATAATGATATATGAAAAAGAAAACCACACACACACACAGACACAAGCAAAAACTAAGAAGACGAGAAACAACAGCACCCAAAATGGGGAGGAAAATCAAGAAGAAGGAAAGGGAAACAAACACAACCCAACCCCAACCCCTCCCTTTGGCAGCGGACACCGCGCGCGCGCAAAAAAAAAGAACAAGAGGAAACGCCGCGTGCGCTCCGCCGACAACGGGCTCCCCGAAATCCGGTCGAACTGGTCGAACCGCTCCTCCGGTCGCCAAAGTAGACGGCCACAAAGAGGCACGGCACCAGCGCCATGGACCGCGTGATCAGAGCGCGCTTCCAGGGCGCCACTTGGAGCTGCAGGAAGCCCTGGTCGCTCGGGTCGGGTCGGGTTGGGTTGGGTTGGGTTGGGTTTTAAGGGCTGGTTGTCAAAGGAAAATACGGGGAACCATTGCTTTCCCTATGGGTTGTTGTGGTGGATGACAAAGTTTGACAGTTGAGTCCAAAGCGTTTTCAAAACTCAGCCACCACCACAAACATGTGCGACCAAAGTCAACACATGCTCAGTCTAAGATAATGCCCTCTGCCCCCAAACCACGCCGCGGAAAGAAACCTTCTGAGGTTGATGTGGATGGGTGTCAGCGTTAAGGGAAACCTAAAGGGAAACCCACTTCATAGGTTGTTGGGCACATGTCTTCTTGTGGATTGGCAGTCAGGAAACGAAGGCAAACCGTCCCATAATTTCAGGGTTGACTCCTTGTTCATTCTTTTCAACCATTGTTCCTTTCAAAAGCAGCTGTCTCCCCCCCCCCCCTAACAGGCTGTTGGGGGGTTCTTGTAGGAAAGAAGAAAGAAAGGACGTGCCCCCAGAACGTTTCGCACAACTTAAGTGTTTACGGTTGTATATACCCCTCATAGTGCTAGACTAGCTCCATTCCAAATTCCGTACCTCAACATTTCAACTGAAAAGCACAGGATCCCTCTAAACATGGCGGCCCCCAAGTGGGGAACGTCCCAATACTTTTGGTTGAATTGGAGGCTTGCAATACGTGATCTCTCGTTTGTAGATCAAACTGTGAACGGGTCTGGGAGCCATGAGAATGGTCGATCAGCTGGCAAGTGACCGACTGCTTTGGGCAATTTCCTCAATGGGGTCAATTTGCCACTGGGTTTCGCACGGCTCCTGAAGGTTCGTGGCTCGGGAGTCTCCTGGAGGCGTCTTTGCCCAGAGGATTCCAGGCCGATGGCCAGGTGCATTTGAGGGGAACCATTTTTCAGGCCAACCAAACTGGACTCGGTGCCGGGGAAAAACGGGGGACTGAACTAGCCGTCGAGGCCCATCCGCCTGCATCACCCATTGGCCCGCGTAGGCCCCTGTCATGGTGCTGGACTGCCCGGCGGCGCACAGGCCCAAGGCCCACACGATCTTCCTCAAATGTGTGGAATGGGAAGGGAAACGAAGAGGCAACCCACCCGTTTTTGCGGGTCCCCCAAATGAACACGAACCAAATGCGGAAACAACCTGGGAGCCACATAGATGGATGATGCAGCAAGCCAAGAAATAGCGGGTCGGACAACGGGCAGTCAAAACTTCTCACACCTCCTCCACTACCACTTGAGCACGGCAGGGACGAAAGCAAGCAATAGGCACTGATTGTGGGGAAAGCAGGCCTCCAGAAGAACAAACAGCAATTTTGGCACGAGCTGTTTCGGCCATCCCCACATCCCCAGGATTGCTAAGCATAGCTTTCCCCCGTCTCAAAGGAAACTGCAGAAACCGCCAATTTCGGGGGTCCCCCATGTGAACACAACACCCAAACGCGGAACCAACCTAGGAGCAATGAGGCCAACCCAACGGGTTGGGTTGGAAACCGGGCAGTCAAAAAGAGCTTGGGAAAACTCTGGAAGGCGTTTTAACACATGCTGAATGGCTCCATCGTGCCATTCTGAAAGACGGCAGGTAGTGGCTTGGTACAATCTTCCAAGGGAGTACACATGCATGCGCGTGCAGGAAGTTCATTCGGTCAGGAGAAGAGGCCCTTGGTCACCCACTGAACCAGGGCAATCGCACCAATTGGACTAACCAAGATGCGATGGAGCACACGTTCGACCGCTTCAGTTTACAAGAAATCTCCCTCATGGGCTGCATGTGGATTCCCTTCGGATCTCCTTCCGAAAACAATCGCCTGGACTCCCCTTCGCCTTCAAAGGGACTGCCTCTGGGGCCCCCTTGCTCCATCTCAGACCCCGGCTTCCCTGAATCACCTACAAGAAGGAGAGTTCAGCAGCGCCCAAACCCATTGACGCGTGGCTCTAGCAGAACGCTTGCACAGGTGTACCAATGCCTACAATCCTTTCTACGGTTGCCAAAAAGGGAACCTGCAAGGCAGTGGTCTTCCCAAGAAGACTTAAAGGCCGGCTTTGGACAACTGAGTACTGGGAACTCAGGATTAATACACCCCTTGGTTGACAAGTAGGGGGGTCCGAATTTAGAGGGGATCCTCCACGTGCTGGGGGAAGCAACCCCAAAGAAAATTATCCAGGTTGATCCCGGGGTCAAAAATGGGTATGTGTTAAAGTAGGGGAACCCAAAAATGGATGATTCCCCTTTTGGGTTCTCTTGAAACCAAACTAGTCTACAAATAGGGGTGCTTTTCCCAGCGTCATGGTCTGCCCGAAGGCGTCCCCCAGGAACTTCCCCGCGTTGGCCAGGCCGATGTCCGCGGTGTCCGGGTCTCCAAAGAAACCCTTGGCAAAGACGGCCACCACGAAAGTGTTGATCACCAGCGAGGTCCTGAAGAATTCAGCTTCCCTACTTGGTTTTGAGCCCGGTGGCTTGGAGCCGGCGGTCTGGATGGTATCCATTCAATCCCTCTAACCGTTTTCGCGCTGTATACCTCTAGTCTAGTTGGGTGTGTCTTAAAATAAGGGCTGGCTTCCGAATATCCTTGGTTTCTATGAAAGAAGAACGACCCGAAGCTGGTTCAGCACCAGGGTTCCTCATATTGAGTATGAAGCGCGGTCGAAACTACTGAGTTGCTTACTTTGCGAGCCCCGTACCATTCTCCAATGCTCCAACTTCATTGGGGGCATCGATGTTTTGCAACCCCCTATTTTCTGCTTGTCCACAACATCAATGAAGCACCAAATACTAAACACAACGGCGGCTACGTTTGACGGTTGACGGCTCCTGATATTATGAGCCCCGCACAAATCTACGTGCTTCACCAGGATGGAAAATGGAGGTTTGCTGGTGTTGGTGGGAAATTTGGATGGCCCTCCTAAAATTAGCCCCCCAAATTACCAATCGACCATCAAAAAAGTATGTTCAGAGACTAATATACGGGATTGCCTCAAAATGTGGGAGCCCGCAAAATCGTTTGTTTCCTTTTTGACTTCCCTCAAGCCAATCCCAAAAGGGTACCCTTAAAAGGAGACACACACAGACACAAAGAGGTGTCCCCTAAAACCGTCACCCACCAAAAGGAACGTGAAAGTTGGCCCAAAGGGCGATGTTAAAACCCACCCAAAAAGGGAAATAAAAGGACCGCTGCACACACGCGGCATGCCCCACGAATCCCAAAAGGTGCCCCGCAACATGCGCCCCCCAAAACAAGATTCCTCGAACAAGTCGGTGGTTCTGGGGTTCTTCGCAAAAGTCGTCCCTTGAGTCGTGGTTCCTCTCCTCGAATTTATCGCATGCAGAAGGAGACCTCCCCTTTCCCATGCCCAAAGAGGGGCAAGGCACAGGATCGCCACCGTGGACTCGATCGTGAAAAGGCCAATCGCCTCCTCCTCCCCCCCGGTCTGCACAACCCGACTCTGCACCAGGGCCGAGTGGAGGAAGAGGTTGTGGGGCATGATGACGCAGCCAATCATCCCCACAACCTGCACTCTGAGACTCTGAATTCGATTCGGGCCATAAGGCGATTGCTGGTATGATGACAGGCCTGAGAAGAGGATGCCAATCAAACAACATGCATTGGATGGTCGACATTCGCCTGGGAAGCATGCTGCACCCCATACGCCCCCCAATCAAACGAGGAGTCCACACAAAACTGCAGCAAAGCTGTCAAAACTCTCCCCTCGCCGGCGAACCCCCCTCTTCGCTCGCACGAGCGCGCGCACCCGAGGTCGCGCCTGCGGCAGCGCCTTGGGGGGCAGGCGCGGCACCACGAGGCCCTCCACCACCGCCAAGTTGTCCGGCGAGATCACGAAGAACAGGCGCCCCATGGACAGCGCCAGCACCAAAATCAGCGCCCCGAAGAACAGCTCCTCTGGAATCGGAGCGGTGGGTCTCAAAATTGGGGTTGCCCAACGTGCTGTGGGTTTTGTAACCGCAGGGAAAATAGAGCATTTGAGGGGTGCCCTCTTTTTGTTGAGCAACACCCAAATGCAAATGTGGGTGTGGTTCCTCAAAATGGGAAACCAGTGTCTATGCATCTAATTTCCTTTAGGAAATGGATATAAGCTATTTGTCATGATGTATCGTCCTTCTCCATCGCACGAAATGGGAAGATACCTGAAAGACCAATCTCCTAAAGGGGCCCGCTGTCAGGCTCCATGTTTTGGATCGGACGGCAATTTGTGTGTGTGTGTGTGTGTCTCCTCGAAATGACTAGAGTCCTTCAGAGCAATCAGAAGCCAAGATAATATTCACAAATCAATGGGGAACCCCTCTGTATGGGTGGTTCATCTGTTTTCCTTTAGACATGAAAAAAAGGTGGCTAGGGGAAATGAAATGAGTACCCGACAACATTATCAAAAACGATAGGAAACAGACAACCCAAAACTGATAATGCTGTCCGAGATCAAGGCGGAAGTTGTCACAATGATAGGAGATTGCTTTCTTTTAATGATCCCCGGTTTGCAAGGCCATGACTTTGGGGAAAAACATCGCTTTTCCCGCTCTGCAGAGAATGGGGACCTCCTGTATTGTGGGGGAAAATGCGAGGGCCTAACCCCACAAATTGCGACCGAGAAAGTGGGGTTCGGTTGGCATGCCATGGGGAGCCAGCCCCCAAGACCAAGCAACAGCTTATGTCAAAAGAAATTGGGGTGGCCAACCCATGACCCTTCATGCCCATTTTCCAAACCTCGAGCCACTACACAGCAGAGCATTGACCCAATCCACAAAAGTGATGTTGCGAGGAAAAGAAGAGGTTTTTAGGCTAGTCAAACCCCAAAAAATTCCCCCTCCAACGTGGTGACCGTATAAACGGAATTGAGAAACCAAACACCTTTCAATGTAAGGTGTTGCATGGCAACCACATTAATCACAGGACCACCCCCCTCTCCAACCCCGCCCATCCCCCCCCCAAAAAAAAAAAGAGGAGCGAGCCCTGCGTCCCAAGGCTCCAGGGGCCGCGTGCCCAGACGCTCCAGAAAGAGAAACACGAAGGCTGCAAAGGCGGTGACCAAGACCCCCGTCGTCAGCTGCAAACCGAAGAGCAGCTCCTGACTTCTCGCGAGGCTTTGCTGAAAAACTGGCCAACATATCCCAAAACAAACATTGAAAAAAAACAACCACCGAACAAAAGGCTTGCTTGGGCCTTAAAAGCCTGCAAAAGACTTACTTGGGCCTTTGTAAAGACGAAACTCTGGATGCAAATCCAAGTCTCCAAGCCGATGGAGCAGCCGATCACCTCCTGGATGTCAGAGCCGATGATGGCCATCTCCGTCACGATCCAAAGGAAGGTCCTGGCAGCCAAACTGGTCCCTCCACCAGGGCTCCCCGAATACTCCCAAAAAGGAAACCCGTTTTGCGGAATATCGGTGTGGGCCAGGAGCGTGAAGATTCACCAGGATCACATGCTGGTACTCGCCTAGCGATTCAGTTCTGACTCTCCCCCAACCTCCCCAACCTCCCCAACCTCCCCCAACCTCCCCCTCACCTCCCCCAACCTCCCCCAACCTCCCCCAACCCAGCCTGGTGGGGGGCCCAAAGGCGTCCCTGCAGTGCTCCGCCAGGTGGCGCTTCGTGGCGCAGCCCAGGCGCGCCGCCACCAGCTGCATGCCCAGGCCCACCAGCGTGGAGCCAAGGAGCGCCCAGAGCAGCACGTAACCAAACTGCGCCCCCACCTACCGTCGGTCTTTGGAGTTAGCACCAAAATGATGGTCGTGATTACCTGAAAACCATGTGTGGTGTTTTTTTTTGGGGGGGAGGGGGCTCCTTGGTTTGACAAACCCACCCCTTGTGAAAAAAGTGCCACAAGATCTGCAGAGAGTAACAATCAAACAGCATACCCAACAGGTACAGCTGTCACACAGTTGGAGATTTCATCCAGGAAATGGGGAATCCGTGTGCCAACTGATTGTTACTCACCGTAGCAATATGGATGTGTTTTTTTTGAGGCTCCAGTGTTTTTTTCAGGTTGGTGCAAAAGGCAACCAAACGGGAAACCACTGTGTTGGGAGGCCCGCATTTTGACACATACCTTTACACGTATATTGCACTGTTTCCTCAGAAGGACATGCGAAAGTCGAGCTGTGCCTCTGTGAGCAATTTGGGTTGTCTCCTTGGTCCCAGGATCAAGCTTGGTGAGAAGCAAATCCTTGAATAGGCCAATCCAGTCACGACCTTTGTTCCGACAACTTCAAGAGAATGATAGTCTTCCAGAATCATCCTGCCCACTTCCATGATTCGATTGTTGGAATGACGGTAAATCAAAGGTATGGTAAAATGTCAAGTATTCTTATAGGGGGGGAATCCTTTAGTGGAAATCGCTTGCGCGCGGATTTGTCTCCGACAACCTTTTTGGAGGGTGTTCCGTGGGGTTCATGTTAGTTGGTGGAGATGATCAGGAACTCATAAAGCCCTCAAACCCTTTGAGGCTCCATTTCTGGTTGAAAGGGAGGGTCATTCATGTCTACCTTTTGTATTGAAATCCCCTTGGACCCCTCTTTGAGGTTCCGTCTCTTAATTAAAGAACATTCACGATCTGAATGTAACATTGCTTTAGCACCTGCCAAAGCCAGGTATTGAGCAAGCCGAGCAAAGGTGATGGATGGTGTTAAATGCCAACCCACAAACCTGCCATCGACCGGAACGGCAATGTTTCTCCAATACCAAGCAAGACAAGCCAAGGCTGCGCCCTAAAGCAACGCCCCAAAGGAAATTCACCCAGGGCCCCTAACGCTGATGCTTCAAGCTGCCAAAAGTCAAGCTTGGGGGGACCCCCCAAAAAGAAAACAAGCAAGGAAGAAAAGCGTAGTTTGCCTTCTGGTGTCCGTTCAAACCAACCTAAAAGAAAGCAAAGCGTGGTTTACCTTGAAAAAGAAACACAGACACACACACACGCGGTCCCAAAACCCCTTCCCGCCTGGAGGTCTGCCTCGAGGTTCCCGGGGTCCACGTAGGCGATGCTCATGAGCCATCCGGGGCCCGTGAAGGCCAACAAGCGCACCCACCACTCCGACCACGTCAGCCCGATCTCCTTCTCAGCAAAAAAAAAGACACGAAAAAGGCGCGCCTGGGAAAAAGATGTTTGGCTGCCTGCCATGTGTTTGGTTTACCCCCCACCTAAAGGGGTCCCTCTGACCCAAAGATCTTCCACTCGGAAGGAAAGAAATGCGCTTTGGCTGATCCATGTCAAACCACAAGGACAACTGGGAAGGACCCTGCATTTCAGGGTCAATAGACGACCAAGGTTGGGTTTAGATTCAGGGTTTGGTAGCCCGAGAATCTTGGCAAGTGGCCCCAAGCCTATCTCATGCCCCCACAGACAGTCAGAGCTGTGCATTTGTTAAACCCCCCAACTGTGAATCCATTCATGTCACCCCTCCACTTTCTTCAGCCTCCGCAGTTCATTAATTCTATTTCAACCCCTCCCCTTGTTTTACTCTCGCCACAGGAGTTGATGTCTCGTTTGCTCCATCATTTGCTACCATGACGGTGTTGAGGTGTTTGCTTCTCAAACTTAACTGTTGAGGTCGATTTGGTGAACCCACATTTGCAACCACATCCATCAGGGCGATCAAAGTTGAATGTCAAGTTGATCGTGAATAACCAAGCCCCCCCTCCCCAAAAAAAAGAAACATCAAAACGCCTTCAAACCCTTCAAACGGTCTCGTGAGATCGCCCGTCGCCTCCTCCTCCCCCAGACACAACGGCTTCAGCAGCTCCGGGATCGCGGCGATCTGCGCCGCGCTGGGCGGGGCCTGGTTCCCGGTCGGGGTGGCCGGGTGACTCTCCGGGGGCGCCAGCAGGCCGAAGGAGGCGAACGCCACAGGCGTCACCTCGCTGGGGGGGGGGAGGGGGTTGCTGCTTCTTAGTTACGGCTCGGCACCTTTAGGATGTTTGAAGAAAACCGGAGGCAAAACGTATGTATGGCCTTGTGCTGAGTTTGGTGCTCGGTCATATGTGTTTGTTATTTTTTCGAATGCGCCCAAAATAGCGCTGAAAGGAGGACTGGGAGAAACCCGCAATCTTATCTTCACGATAAGGTGAGGTAGTCTCGAAAGGAAAACCCCACCAGAAAATGGGGGCCAACAAAGCTGGCCAGGAGACGCTTTTGTGTATTCAAGAACAAACTTGGTAGCGGCTTTTGTTGAGGCCAACCTGCCAAGAGGAAACCAACCTTTGTTTTGCCTAGGATACCCCAACAGCAAGCTCCCTCAAACAAAAAAAATAAACGGAACGCCGTGCCTAGCCCTTTCCCCATACCCCGCCTCTCGCGAGTTTTGGCGCCCAAAGCCTTCAACCTTCTCGTGGCAGTCGTGCAGATTCGGGGGCCGCGGCCGGCCCTCTTTGGACATGGCCGAAATGGATGGATTCCAGGCTTGCGATTTCGGTGCCTTTGGTTTGTCCCTTGTCTCCACCCCAAAAAAGCCTGGTGAGTGGCTTGGCTGGAAGGCAATGCTGAAAAAACAATGCGAAAGAGGCGTGTGAAGTGGCTGAAGGCTCTGTGGCTTGGAATTCCTCAGGGCTGCAAGGTGCCAGTTCCTATAACATGCGATTTGCATGGTATTCAGCTGGACTGGGCCAGTGCCCGCAAATTCCAGCCAAAGCTTAAGGTGAACTAAGACGAAATGAACAAGGACTATCTGTCACCACAAGAAAGCGATGCAGCAACCGGCTCCAGTTGACATTTGACATGTACACAAGATGGTGGTTTGTCTTTGTGCAGCCTGGCCGACTAGTCTAACTAATCCAACTGACGACCCGACCAACCCGACCACAACCAACCCAACCCGACCCAACCCGACCCAACCCGACCCAACCCGACCCAACCTGACTGACCTCCTACGTTTCCGCTTACAATTCTCGAGCCGATCCTCGAAGTCAAACCAGGAGTGCCGCTTGGAAGCGTACAGGAGCTGGGCTGTATACCTGAGATCCAAATCGATCCTTTAAAGCCCATCGCAGCGCAAATAGATGCTTCTGGATGTAGCACTAAGCACGAACGTACAAATATGCCCATGAACATAATCGCAGCTTGTTCCGAAATGGGCCAACTTGCAATGTTCTTTTGCACAACCCAAGCGAGTACCCTCGGAGAAAGGCACATCCAATATACGCGGCGGAGCCGCGGAGGCCCTCGTGTTGTTTCTTGTTGTTTCGATCTTCAGTTCGGATCTGAAAGCTCGGCTCTCGCAACTGTCAAAAGGTGAGCCTCTGCAGACTTTCAGCGGGTTGACCCTAAAAACCAAACGCGGCTGTCTTCTTTTTTCCCTGTCGCGAGGGAGGGAGAGCGGAGGGAGACTGGGAGAATAGGAGAAGGGGGAAAGAAGCGTGCTCCAAGCCATAGTTCTTATGTTGGTGAGGCGTTCACCGATTGAAGGCTGCGAAGTACTGTGTGTGGATGTGCCGATGAGCACATCTCCGACCCGTTTCGAGTCCGAGCCCGCCTCCGCGCGTCACAACCAGGGTGATTTGCGCACAGGCGGATGAGCCGAAATCACGCACACACCCACGTTTTCGGCCCGTTTCTATTCACCAGTTCTCGCGTCTGGCCACAAAGACCACGGACAGACAGACAGACAGACAGACAGACAGACAGACAGACAGACAGACAGACAGACAGACAGGCAGGCAGGCAGGCAGGCAGGCAGGCAGGCAGGCAGGCAGACAGACAGACAGACAGACAGACAGAGACACAGACAGACAGACAGACAGACAGACAGGCAGGCAGGCAGACAGACAGACAGACAGACACAGACAGACAGACACAGACAGACAGACAGACAGACAGACAGACAGACAGACAGACAGACAGACAGACAGACAGCCAGCCAGCCAGCCAGCCAGACAGACAGACAGACAGAGACAGACAGACAGACAGACAGACAGACAGACAGACAAACAAACAAACAAACAAACAAACAAACAAACAAACAGAGAGAGGAAGCGGTTGCTCAATAAGTTCCAGTGGTTTTACTACCCATCTACATAAAGGGGTAAATATCGTCTACCCGCTATAAAGCTGGGCGGTAGCCGCAAAAGCCAGGGGTATGAAGAAGGGGTTGGGCGCCTCCTACGTGGAACCCAACACATGGTTGGCTTCCTTTCATGGAATCCCCGCTCATGGAAATCTGAGCCTCCCCACCCATGGGACGTCGCCTGCCGCGCCTGCCGAGCCTGCGCGGTGAGGCGAAAAGCCAAGGCCTCGTGGTTGAGTTGTCCCAAGGGATCCCTTTGAATCGGGTCACCTGTTGACCCCCTTGCAAAGGTTAAGCTGTTTGCTTGCTGGTGGGCATTGTCTTCGAAAAGAATGGCTTCAGTCCTCCCCGTCCGATATCTTCTTCTCTGCCCCTGCTAGGGGCACATCACCAGCAACTCGTAAACCTTGAAGGCCCTTCAGTTTCACTTCAAGGCAAGGGGCATTGTAGGCCAATCACCCAAAGTCACCACACTTCCCTTTCGAATGTTGACCGGCTAGTCTCAATATGTCGCAGGCGCAATGAGAGTTACATGAACGGCGTCAGCGCGCAGACTTTGGTCTACAGTTGCCCTTATTTAATAGGATTAAATAAACCCCCAAACAAGTAGTTTCCCATGGGAGTCACTTTAAAGCAACTACCAAAAAGGAAGTAGTCCCACAAGAACACACACCTGCACTGCCTACTCAAGCTGCGTGAGACCATTTCTCGCCCACCTCGGCCGCCGGCTGAGCTCGGGCGTCTGCATGGGAGGGCTTCTGCCCAGAAAATAGCACCTGCCAGCTGGTGTCTTGAGACATGGATGGTTCAATGCCAGAGCTGTCTGTCGAAGTTGTCTCAAAACAGGAAATGGACCCGAAAAAATGAGAACGGACGGTAACGCGCTCCGTTTGGCTTGCCGTCAAAGGTTCCAAAAGCAATCCACTGTTGCGCTCGTGCCCGCGCATGCTCTTTGAGAACTTGTCACACAGTGTCGTTGCGAATCGCTGCGAATGCGCGTCTGGCGAGTTGCAACATGCCCGTTTCGCGCGGTTCTTCCTGTGGGCAATACAAGGAATGCTCGGCCTGTGGCACGATTGGGTTCTTGACAACCTCCCACAGCTGCTAGATCCCTGTGAAGGCCTGATACGTCCAATAAGACTGGACAGCCGGCTTCCCGTCCCCCAATGCGGCCGGGCTGACAAAACCCTCCTGCTCAACCTTCGCCAATCGCTTTTGCAGCTTTCTGGCCTTAGCCCACAGCTCCCATCTCTGCATCTCAATATCTCACTTCCTGAGTGGACTGGCCCAAAAAAAAATCAGACTTTCTGGTTGCCACCAAATTGGTCTTCCCAAAAAGTGTAAAGCCCAGAAACTCAGGACCTGAGATATGAGAGTACCAATCGAAGGAGAGCACAGGACTAGCACAAGAGCTATTGATTCTGCATGATCAACATGTCCACCTTTTCTTCTCAATTTCATAACAACACAAAGAGCAGGTCTATGGACACATACCCTGGGTGTCCAGTTGGAGAAAATGGATGACTGGTAAATGAACATGGAACCAAACTGAAATCAGTGGAACCCATCTATGTTCAAACCAAACTGCCCGCAAGGAAAACAAAATGCTCAAGTGGTGATTTATCAAAAGTTGTGGCCTCCCAAACGGTTGCTTCCCTTTGGTTTCCCTTGCAGAAACAAAGCAAAAGAGTTCCGCCATTTCGAGAATCTGCGAAACCCTAAAACGTTGCAGCGGGAAGCGCTGGCCGGCCTGAGCCCGGAGCGAGTTCTTCCTGGCCGCCCTTAGGCACACTGCCTGTGCGTTACCCGGCACCGAAGCATCGTAGTTGCAACACAGGCATCATTTGCACCATTTGCACCATTTTCCTCCCCAACTTGTGCTTATGTCACCCGTAGATCCCGGGTTCACAAGCTGCAAATAAGCAATCCCTTGAGGGCACCTTCATCCTGGGTGAGCTCGTGTCTCCGCCAAATCATTGAGCTTGATACATGTATATATGGTACAGCGTTGCCAGTCCACCTTTTTCTTAATGGTGATGGGTCAGACAAGTACCCCCCCCCCTGTGGTTGTGGTTGGGCTGTGGTGGTTTAGGGTTGGTTTAGAATTGGTTTAGGGTGTATTTAAGGTGTATTTAGGGTTAGTTTAGGGTTAGTTTAGGGTTGATTTAGGGTTGGTTTATGTTGATGTAGGGTTGGCTTAGGGTTGGTTTAGGTTTAGAGGTGTACGGTTTAGGGTTTGGTTTAGGGTGTATTTAGGGTTGGTTTAGGGTTAGTTTAGGGTTGGTTTATGGTTGGTTGCGGGTTGGCTTGTCCTGGGGGTGGGGGGGCCGGGGTGTCGGGGTGCGAGTTCAGGTGGGTCGGGGTGCGGGTGGGACCGTAGGTGCCAGGATCCGGGGGCTCGGGGTCTCGGGCTGGGGCGGGGGGGGGTCTTGGGGGACCCATACCATCTGGGGGGGGGGGGAAGCAACACGGAACACGGGACCATATATTTATATAGCCCAAATCTTCAGAATCCGGTATGTGTCGCCATGGAAACGACCTGTATCCCAGACATGCCTTCTTGGTTTGATGAGCACCCTGAGCAGCCCAGCCTGTTGATGTTAAGCCGGCTTGTTCTCGCCAACATCTGACTTGCCCAGTGGCTTCCCAAGGGAAAAAGGCCTGAGACTTCTGGCGGATTAGCCAACCACCCAGATGCAGCAAGCGGGTGCTTTCCGCAGCTAAGGATTCCCCTAAGTCCCTCAAATGCAACACCCCTTGTTGACAATAGGGAGCGTTATTCATCCTGAGTTAACGATACCTAACTTCCCTCAAACTTTTTGGCAGTGGTTGCTTTTAAAGGGGCGCCATCTGAACGAAGATGCACAGAACTTGACAAATCAGGGACCGGAAGCAAAAGGGATGCAGACTGTTACTGAAAGGGGGGCTGCAGGCCCTTTCAGGGCTCTCGTGACTGCGAGTTGTCCAAAGTCAGCTATGGCCAGCAGTGACAGTGGTTGCCGCCGTGAACGCACAAGCCTTGAGATCCAAAGCTTCTTGAAGACAAGTAGCTTCCGGAACAATCCTCTATCCTTATTGTAGATCTTAGCTTCCCTTGTAGAGTCCTAAGAAAAAAATATGTTTTTGAACAGCACAGCCTTTGATTTCCCCGAAATCCCGGGGGTCCGAAAGGAAGCACGCCGAAGGCCCGGGATCCGTCCTGTGCCACACCAGAGCCTGCCGGGCGATCGCGGAAGCTCGAGAACTCGAGTGGACTGGCTCTGTGCGCGTGCCTGACATAGTCTACCCAAAAACTAAGACATCCAACTCAGGGAGAGAGATCGCACAGGCTTGGTGAGGGCTGTTCGGATAGATACTTGGGATATGTCCAATCAGGGGGTTCCCTATATTGAAAGTCATGGCCGTCAAAGTTCGCTCAGCACACCTCAAGTGAATGAGCCGCCCGGCCCCAAGCGGGGCTTGTGATTGGGCGTGTGCCTAAATTCGGTTCAAGTTCAACGAGAAACTTCAAGACGGCATTGGAGCGCTGCGCATGTCTTGAGGCATGGTGGGGGAGACATGTGGCTGACAGTAATGCGTTAAAGCGAGGAAAAGTGGTTCAACACATCCCAAAGCAACCGTGAAGCGATGCCCCGAATCTGGGAGGAGAGCCACATACCACAGCATATGAGGGCGTCCCAACGATAAACCATTGGATTCTCCGACGACGTGCGATGTGAGTACTGCATCAAGAAGTGGCGGTCATCGGAAAAATCGCTCAAGTTGAAGTGTGAATCATTTTATGGCATTTGAGCTAGAGAGTCGGGCAACAGTCTGCCGTGAAGTGCACTTCGCCTTGTCATCATAGCAGCTTTATCGGCAGAAGGCTTCTCCTTAGATTTTCCCCCTCTGGAGCTGCCATACACACTAGGACCCTGTATTGTCTTGTGTGTGGATGTCTGTTGGCTGCTGTGTTGTGCTTTTCTTGCTGCCCGTTGCCTGCTGTTGGCTGTTTGTTGGTTGTTGCCGCATCTTCGCTGTTCGTTGCATCATAGCTCCTGCTGCCTGTTGTTTGTTGTTTGGTGGCTGTTGCTTGCAGACTGTTATTTGTTGTTGGCGGCAGCTGGTGTCAGCGTTGTTGCCCATGGTGTCTGTGGTGCTGGCGGCGTCGCTCGTGTCGGTGTTGCATGTCCACCATCTGAGCATCTTTGCCAAGCGGCCACTGCGAGATCGGAGCAGGCTTTGGGCTCCGTCTCACATGCCACAGGCACCTCTGAACAAAGGCTCCTAGCGTGCTCTGCAGCCACATCTTCGGGGAGCCAGGACTTCTCAGCATCATCCACCGGCTTAAAAGCAACCTCTGGTGCAATGTTACCAGTTGCCTCAGACCCCTCATCCACGACCTCTTTCGCCCATTCAACCTCTTCGGCAGCCTCTTCAGCCTCTTCCGCCGTTTCAGCCTCTTCGGCCTCTTCAGCCTCTTCAACCTCTTCAGCGGTTTCAACCTCTCTGGCCTCTTCCGCCTCTGCGTATTCAGTGTCTTCCGGCTCTTCAGCATCCTGGAAGTCTTCCTCTTCGGCCTCTATGGCATGCACCTCTGGCTTCGCTGCCTGGCTCAGCCACTCCGTCTCCAAGCCTTCGGTCCCCGCGCGTACGGCGGTCTTTGAGACTTGGAGCGCCGGAGAGCTACTGGCGTCCTCCTAGCGGCAACGGAAGCCGCCAGATTCCGAATCCACTTCAAAGTGCCTTTTCGCTCAATTGCGCGGTTCTCTCAATGGGAACCCCAAAAATCGAAAGGCTTCCCTTTGGTGTCAACCTCGAAAAAGACCCCCTCAAGTGAGCGCGCCCTACACCCATGGCCCATGGCTATACGTAAGCCTTATGGCAAGGCCTAAACCAGCTCGAACCTATGACAAAGAAAAATTTGTTGGCTCTTCTGTCCTCCACCAGATCCCAATCCCAGGCATCCTCAGATTGCGAAATCGCAGAGGTCGGCGGACATAGATTGACATAAATCCACGCCCTTTTGGTATGACTTCATAGGGGTCAAAAAAGAAATCGGCAGAGCGACGCGGGCTGCCGGCCAAGACGCCTTTTCCAACACCTCGGCCACCTCCCACGCATCCTGAAACCAGCGGGCTGGGAGATGTAAGCTGCGTACCATGGCTCCAAGGACAGTCAGATTTTGGGGCAAGCCCTCCATGTCCTAGACTTGCAACCAGGACGTCTACGTCCATGCCCTGCCTCTGTTTGTGCTGGGTCTGGTGCTGCCTGAGGCACAAGTGCACCCAGACATGGGGCAGTGCTTGCTCAGTCTGAGGCACGCACGCTCCCCCATAGCTTGCTCAAATGCGTGATCAGGGTCCTAGCCCGATGTGCTCTCGAGTCACTGTCAGACTGTCATACATCCCAAACAGGCACCAGCATGAATCCAGTGACCAGCTTGCATTCCAATCAATCTAGGGCAATCACCAGAATCACTCGCATATGCTCTGAGAGGCTGCCAAGAAATGGTCAAGGGTACATCAATCTAGACTCAGTGGAAGGCTCCGAGTGCATCAGGCAACTCCTGCCAAAGAGCATTGCCCTAGCTCATCAGCTCTTCCTGCCTGCGGCTGACTCATCCAGGTTCCGCTCACAACAAGCACCAGCCCCTGCCTCCATCATGGGATGCCATAGCCGCTTGAGAAATACGTTCCGGACCAAAGCAAAAAGGTCCTCTACATCACCATGACCAGCTGTCACAGATTGATTGGGGACAACGAGAAACAGCGTGCCTGTGACGCGGAGTGCCGGCTTTTTTCGGCACTTGACCACCGATGGACTACTGGCCCCTGCTTCAGGGCGCAGGCGAACCTCTGGCTCCAAGTTTCAAGCACAGAGTGTCGCTCGCAAACGCACATGCCCGTCGGTGAGACGGCCACGGCGGCGTTAACTGTGCCACTCCCGGCTGAGCCGAGGGTGCTTGAAATCTGAAAATGTACAAAGGGAACAAAACAAACTCGATCAGGGCTGATCAAATGAATAAGAAACACACAAGCAACAAATCGAACTAAAATGATCAGTCGAGCTCTCTGAGGGCACGCCCCTCATCCCGGGTCGGGCTTGCCCGGCTTGCCGCCTCTTCGGATGCCCAAGACCAGAGGCTGCTGGGACACGGCATCGGCCCGAGTCACCTGCACTCTCCGTCCCCCCTTGACTGGGTCTCCTCCAACAAAGCTTTGAGCATGCTCAAAGTCTTTTGCACAAGCGGATATGACCAGGGTTTAGTGCGAGGTGTTGGTCCCTGCAGTATGTTCCCCCCGCTCGGCGCCCGTCGAGCTGGAGCCTCCATTGCCTCATGCTTCTCTTGCAGCGCAGGCCTCGAACTCACGCTGAGCCCACATGCGCTCTCTTCGAACGCACAATGTCTCCCAAAGGGAAAATTACAGTTGGTTCAGGCTCAGGGCGTCTAAACAGTGTGCCTCCATTTCCTTAAATCCCTAACTAGTTGAGCCTTTGGGCAGGTCTTGGGCACGTGTCGGTCAAAACGCCAAGCGGCAGCTTCGGGGTCTTGGACCTGGTCTCCAGCGGCGGCAGCTGCACAAAGCCGGTGCTCGAACCGGAGGCGCCTCAAGCGGAGGTGTTGCCATACCAAAATAGGGACATCCTGGGACATCCAAATTCAAAGTTGCACGGAGACAAGTACAAATGACTAAACCAAAATGAGGGAATGCCTTCTAATTTCGGGCAAGTGTGCGATACATAAGGTGTATATGGTGACCCTGATGCTGCTAAACAACACCAAATTTGAGGGCGAAGTAATTGCAAGCGTTCTGCTCTCGTGATCATCGTTTGATTGGGTTGACAAGAACCGAATAAACCACAAATGTTTATGCCGTGAAAATAAGCGGAGAATCCAAAATCCGAGCTGAAGTTCGGTTCGGCCAGCATGGCTCTGGTTGAGAAGAAACCCCATACTGAAATCTGAATGGAACCATGAAACGTGCATGAAACAGCTGGCGGCAAACTGGATGGTTTGGAGGAGACGGATCACGAACATGAGCCAACGCATGAACCGTTAGCTCGGGTCCTAGGTCTCTGACTGGATGACGCTGGGCTCTTCTTGCCCTTTCCCTGCGGCCAAGGTTGCATGACACTAAACTTTTGGGAGAGGTCCGTGATGCTAGCGGGAGCTGGGGAGCCACTGCCGCGCACGGAGGTATCCCAGGTGCCATTTGGCATGAACCACACAGGAGCACACCCATCAATAGCGTGCGCGCGCGTCCCTGAGCAAAGTGCAAACCTCCAGCAAGCACAGCGCTTGCCCAAGCATTCATAGATTGTCCAAGCTCATACATAACCCAACTTCTTCCCGAGCCGTGAGCATGTGCAACCCCCAGCCTGAAGCTTCTTGGCGAAATTGGCCTTGGACAAAGTTGTGCAGGCTTGATAAACATGAGGCAGCAAAAACATCTCGAATGAGCACGCTTACGTAGCCAAATGTGTCCACGCGCGTTTGCGTGCGCGGTGTAGGCCTTAACAGTTACATATGGTCAACCCGCCCCCCGTAAAGAGCTTCAAGAGGAGTCTTACCAGCGGAACCTTACGAGGAGTTTGTTACGGAGCCTTGTAAGGAGCTTTGCAAAAAAGCTTCAAGGCGGGTGTTGAATTCGAATTTAGCATTGGAAATCTGGCTCACTGGTCATCGGCGCCACCCCAAAAGTGCAGTAAAGGTCATTCATGGGGGGCGCTGAGCTGATGTATACAATTATGTTCTAACACATACGTGAACTTATGTGCTTACACGCGTGTATCTACGCGCGCGCGTGTGGATGTGGCCCAGCGCCACGCGAACAAACGCGACTTGCGGACGCGGCGCCTGCGTGAAAACGCTCGCGCGCGCGCGCCCGCCGCGCGTCTGGGGGCGGCACAGCCAATCGGAATCATTGGGCTGCGCTTGAACCACGCGCGACACGCATTATCATTACGCGCAGAGTCTGCCCGAGTTACACAGTTCAAACGGAAGAAAGGGTCTAACTCCAACGTTGTCTCCGAAGTCTGACTCACAGTCAGCCAGGGCTCAGGTGTTGCGTTGGCCGCCGCAATGAAGGCGCGCACTTCAGTGCCGCAAGAACTTCGTTCTTGCCGAACGTCCGTGCAGCTTGCCGATGGCAAAGTCATTCTAAGTGTCACGCACGCACAAATACGCTCTCTACCGAAAAAGGCAGGTTTGGCTGCATGTTTGGGCTCCAGCTTCGCAGCTCCAGCTTTAGAATCTCGCTGCTTTGTACAAGTGCAGCGCGCAAAGTAGAGCAGCTCCAGGTTGAAAATTACAACTTTTCGGCCCAAATGCGCTACTCGAACACCCTGGCAGCCTCAGCTTGAAAACCGCTTTTCAGCGCATAGCGCACGAACTACACTTTGGCAGCTCCAGAGGGAAAACCACAAGTTGCCAGCGTAAGCGTAGCACGCGAAGAACGAATTGGCAGATCCAGCTTCAAAGGAGCAACTTCTCAGCACAAGCATTAAGCGCGTGAACACTGCAGCAGCCCCAGCTTGCAAGTCGAATCTTTTCACTTTGCCACCAGCTTGACAATCGCAGCGTTTCACAACAAACGAAGCTTTGCAAAGCGTAATGCGGCAACACAGCCGCCCAAGAAACACGCCAGCTTTGCCCGAAGTGGGCTGGGGCACATTTCGTATGCTATGGCGCCCGTCGCTAATACTGCTAAGGGAGGTGAATTTCAAGCTGGAGCCTGCTAAGCTCACTTCGAGCGCTACTCTTGCGCTGGACAGTTGCCGTGTTTAAGCTGGAGCTGCCCAAGCGTGCTTGCGCGCTGTTGCTGTTATCAAGCTGGAGCTGTTCCAGCATACTTCACACCTTTGGGGTTTCCTTCCCGTAGTACTTTCGGATCGTTGGCAGGGGGCTCCGGAGTCTCGCACTTTGTAGATGGTCTCCTAGGTTCCGGATGTTCTTGGTTGGGTAGAGAAGGGCGCGCTACACCTGCGCTGTTTTTTGGGCTCTCACGGCGCAGTCGCCGAAGTGAATTTCAAGCGCCACTTGGCCATGGGTCAAAATCCCGTACCCTGTGAACATCCCAATCCCCACTAAAATAGGTTCTAAAATGGCCGGTGAATTCACCTACCCCAAATGGGATGCCATTGGTTTTGACCCACAGCCACTTCTTTTTTTCTGAACAGCTGCGATTTTCAAGCTGGAGCTGCCCTGGCTCGGTACTCTCAACCCCTGTCACAAAAACAAAAGACCTGTTAGTGAAGAGTGGCCTTCCGTGTACCTCCGCGAAAGGCTGCAGTTTGCTCAATTCACCTGCTGGATGCAAGAAACCCAAAATCGAGCCGGAGACGGGTAATCAGGGTAAAGAGTCTGTCGTACTCAGCAATGGGCATCGTGTTGCAACGGTGACCTTTAACATGGAGCAAATCCTAAGCTCGTGCGTTGATCGTTACCAGAAGTGGCGGGCAACGTGGAACTCAAAAAAGTCCTCGCTCCAGGGATTCGTGAAGGGAGAAAATCGCGCAAACATGACATAGCTATCTAGTCGTTTCCTTCTGCGCTGCCTTTCAAATCCAATTCGAGCCCCGCTCCGAATGACTCACACAAAGGCTGCCGCGAAGAGACTCTTTGCCGAGAACCAAGCACCCTCAAGCTGTCCACTTCACCAAAACACCAATGAACAAACTGCGCCGAATCAAATAGCAGACCCGCGCTTCAGCGCGCCGACTTATAGGGCGACTGCCGCTGTGTTCGTTTCCGGGCAGGCACAAGAAGAGCAAGTGTCCTTGCTAGAACCACCTAGCTCATGAGCGACAAGGCTCAGGTTGCAAGCCTCGGAGGCCGGCGGCTTGTAAACAGAAGCGCTGCTGCAAATCGGCAAAAATCACACCCGAAACGATTCCAGGCTTCCCGGGCTACCGCGAATCCGGTGCGGGCTGCAGCTGCGCGGCGCGGGGCCTCATGGGCCTCATGCCTGGGAGTCGGACGTGGCTTTTTGTCAGCGGTGGGGGCCAGGAGTTGCCACCCAAATGGGTGCTTCTCAAGAATGACGACCTTTGGCTTCCTGCTTTCGTTCCTTTAAAAGCGCCAGCAAAAGCGATCCATACTCGGGAGAAACCCCCAGATGGGCTGGGGCAACTACCTAAGTTGAAAATCGTTTCAAATTTGCCCCAACTGATCAGATTGCCGACGTTCACCAACAGTTAAGAAGCGACTGGCTTACCAAACAATAGTGGCACACCACTTTGCCCTTATTTGTCTTGGACGTAGCTTACGCGGTTGGACTTCCGCCCGCCCAGCCGGTCGGATGTTCCATTGGAACTCATAGCCAAGCGACGCCCAACCACGATCGAGCGTCCCCCCCACTCGGGCGGCCGACAGCGGCGTCAGCGCGCTGCCCACCTGCGCTCTGCGAGCTTGACAAGCCATGAGTCCGCAATTGTTAGGTTCCAGCTAGATGCCCCAACTTCTGCGGCCTCATAGGGAGACGTCATGGGCCGGAGCGACGCATCCTCGCACAGCGCGCCCCCACACACAAACAAACACACTTTCTTTCTCTCTCTCTCTCTCTCTCTCTCTCTCGCTCTGGCTCTGTTTGTCGCTCTCTGTCTCTCCCTCTCTCTCCCTCTCTCCCTCTCGCTCTACATGCACACACACACACACACACACACACACACACACACACACACACACACACACACACACACACACACACGCACACACGCGCGCGCGCGAGCGCGCGCGCACTCACGCACCCACGCACGGGTGTACCTGCAATATACGGTAAGTGGCTGAATGATTACACAAACCACGTATGCTCATAAGTTTACTTTCTGTTGAAGTACCCCGAAACTTCATTCTAGTTATTTAGACCTCTATAGCCTCAGTCAAGCTCTCCTCTTGTATCGTGGACGCATTTCTCCATTGATGGCCCTTCAACTGGTATTGATTATTTTTTCCAGCTACGCCTTGCCACGCGCTGGCTGCGCAGTGTCGACAGTGAGCTCACGGTTCGAGGGCACAACGACTTTACTGAATTAGTCTTAGGCTTCCCATCTGATGTGCAGCAAATTCGAAGCGAGCAAAGTACTTGTACACAGGGAATCCCCCAGAAGCCCTTTATCATGCGCATCGTTGTTCTTTGTCCAGACATCAAGTCGGAGTGACTCTTGCACCAAAAAATCGCTCCTGGCCCGCGAAACTTCTGGCAGCCGGGATCCTGCCGTCGTGTTTCTCATGGCCAGTCGTCCAAATTGGCCAACGCAGCCACGAGAGGCCGAAACCCCGGGGAGAAGTCTGCACCAACCGAAGTCACTGCAAACAGGAACACGTAGACTTCGGTTGGTTCGTGATCGCTTCGAGGTCCCAGCTCGCTGGTGCCTCCACCGGCACATGACTCGATGACCCATGAGCCTATTAACCACAGACTATGGTCAAGTACTGCGTTTCCTCGATACCACTTGCATTCAAGCGAATATTGGAGCTTTGCCGGTCACAAGAACATCTTGCGCTCAGGCTCAAGACGCCGAGAAAAGGTGAGTCTCAGTCTCTGAGCAATTGTCCATGTCATTGAAACAAGCTCCGAAACTTGTGGCAGGGCTGTCTTCGCTTACCAAGTCAGGTCTCCCACCCAGGCCTTGGGCGGTTACCAACGGTGGTTGGCCTCCGCAGGCTCAGGACATGGCACTTTAAACCTGCTACCCAACCCCGAACCTTCGTGTAGGGGCTCATTTTGAGTTTTGAGAGGGAAGCCAAGGTGTTGATCCTTTGTGGAATCCAACAGGATCTCTGATTCTTGGGAAACGATCTCTTGAGACTTGGCTTGCAGAGAAGCAGTCCAGAAGGCGGGCTTGCAAATCGTGGATGTTTATCTCCAAACATGCAGTTGTGTGGCGCCCCACCACCCCCCCACCCCACCCCCTGAACACCCCCATTGGTTGAAAACCCCCCATTGGTTGGAGTATCACCCTCAACTTTGAACAAATAGTTCCAAAAACGATAGATGTGCAAAGATCCGCTCCAGGTCTCAACCCTAGGATCACATGGTGAACCAGTGGAGTTCTGGATCTGAAAGCCGCGCCTGGAGCTGCCGGCTTCGCTGCAGTCCTCGCTCTCGCCGTCGGGAAAGATCCTGGGGTCCAGGGATGGTCGGGCGCTATGTGGGTCCCCTGGCGATTGGTTGTATTGTGTGTGTGTGTGTGTGTGTGTGTGTGTGTGTGTGTGTGTGTGTGTGTGTGTGTGTGTGTGTGTGTGTGTGTGTGTGTGTGTGTGTGTGTGTGTGTGTGTGTGTGTGTGTGTGTGTGTGTGTGTGTGTGTGTGTGTGTGTGTGTGTGTGTGTGTGTGTGTGTGTGTGTGTGTGTGTGTGTGTGTGTGTGTGTGTGTGTGTGTGTGTGGGTGTGTGTGTGTGTGTGTGTGTGTGTGTGTGTGTGTGTGTGTGTGTGTGTGTGTGTGTGTGTGTGTGTGTGTGTGTGTGTGTGTGTGTGTGTGTGTGTGTGTGTGTGTGTGTGTGTGTGTGTGTGTGTGTGTGTGTGTGTGTGTGTGTGTGTGTGTGTGTGTGTGTGTGTGTGTGTGTGTGTGTGTGTGTGTGTGTGTGTGTGTGTGTGTGTGTGTGTGTGTGTGTGTGTGTGTGTGTGTGTGTGTGTGTGTGTGTGTGTGTGTGTGTGTGTGTGTGTGTGTGTGTGTGTGTGTGTGTGTGTGTGTGTGTGTGTGTGTGTGTGTGTGTGTGTGTGTGTGTGTGTGTGTGTGTGTGTGTGTGTGTGTGTGTGTGTGTGTGTGTGTGTGTGTGTGTGTGTGTGTGTGTGTGTGTGTGTGTGTGTGTGTGTGTGTGTGTGTGTGTGTGTGTGTGTGTGGTGTGTGTGTGTGTGTGTGTGTGTGTGTGTGTGTGTGTGTGTGTGTGTGTGTGTGTGTGTGTGTGTGTGTGTGTGTGTGTGTGTGTGTGTGTGTGTGTGTGTGTGTGTGTGTGTGTGTGTGTGTGTGTGTGTGTGTGTTGTGGGTTGTGTGTGTGTGTGTGTGTGTGTGTGTGTGTGTGTGTGTGTGTGTGTGTGTGTGTGTGTGTGTGTGTGTGTGTGTGTGTGTGTGTGTGT